CACTTTAGACATTTGCTTGTTAAAATGCATTCAAATCAGGATTAGCAAAATGAACAATGGCAAAACAGATGAAACGAAAGCCCAAATATTAAATGACATTTTCTCTCACATTTCCTTCTGCTTCACATATTTGTAGTAGATGATTTTCTGTTTGAGAAATGATTTTCGCACACTTGTTTTTGTATGTTTCACACTCTTTTTTATTACTAGCATCAAATTAAATAAATTAACGGAAAACAACGGACAACAAAGGTGTGTAGAAGGAAAAAAAAAGTGTGTTTATCATTTGCCTTTTGTCATAGGGTAACGATATTGACATCTATTTTTAGTTATATACATTTCACATGAATAGTAGGAAACTAACAATAGAGCGTGAAAATCAAAATCAATAGCCTTTTAGAGAATTTGATTCTTATTACACTTTTTTTAATTTTCACAAATGTTCAAAATGCAAACCCTACAAAATGGGCATAAGTTATGCCTCTCACTCTCACATTCATTTTCATCTTGTCTTTAGTTTACAGAAGATGAATTTCTCAGGGAAACAAAAAAAGATGGTCACTTTAAATCCAAGGCTCAATTGCTCATCGACTCTGTCTCGTTCCATCCTTGGTCTAAGCCAAAGGGCACGATTGAAAACTGCAAATACTCAGGGAAACAAAAAGGATAGCGTATCTTAGGCCACTTTCGCTAAAGCAATGCTCAGACTTCATAGGCCGATAACTCCATTATGCCAATGGGCCCTAACCAGTGACGGAACCAGAATTCTGAATGAAGAGGGGTCTTTCACAAATATATATATATATATATATATATATATGAGTGTGTGTAAAAAGTTGAATTCATAACATTTTGACATATGCAATTTGTGTAATCCATTCCTCACAAAACTGAAAAAAATCTCTTAAATTCAATACTAAGAAGAAAAAAAAAATGAAAAAACCCAGACAACCAAGTAAGAGGTAGGTTGTGGAAGGCTAAAGAAAATACAAAGAAGTAGAAAAAGAAGGAAAAGGGGGAGAGGTCTGCAAATAAAGAAGGTGGGTTGCTTTAGAAAATTATAGGGTGTATATTACTGTTAGGTGAGAGAATCGAACAAGAAGTGAGGTTGATTTTTCCATTTAAAATTGCACATCGCTTTTAAAACTCCCCTGCCAAACTTATTGTTTCATTAGACAGCCGAAAAGATTTAAAATCAAAACAGTTTAACGACGTCGTTTGCTTCATCTTCTTCCATGAGGTTCACACCTTAGATGAAGTCAGGATGGGCTCGAGACTACCCTAGTCCCTTGGTGGTTCCGTCCCTGGCCCTAACTGAGTGAGGAGACTCTAGAACGAAGAGAGGAACTTGCCTCCATCCCAATACGCTACCATAGCATAAGATATATTATTCAACAACATTCGGGGACCAATGATGCAATATACTATGAAAATAATATAACACATAACATTACATCATTGGTTCGGAACACTAACATATAACACATTGAAAGGTGTAGGTAAGTCCGATGCAGAAGCATTCATGAGTGCATGAATCTACCAAGATTCAAAAATAGAAATTAAAGCCCTAAGTCAACTAGTGGATTAGGTTCAGTTTCATTCTGTTTGGTTTTTTCCAAAACCAAAAATTAAATCAAAATTATTGTTCGGTTTAGTTTGGTTTTCTTCAGATTTTTTTCTTCGGTTTGTTTTCGGTTCAATTTTTTTTTTTAATTTGATTCAGTTTTGGTTCCCTTTTTTATTAAGAAAATATGAAAATTGGTTTTTTTTTTCTTACAAAAAAATAAAATGAAAAAGGGTAGGAAAGTAAGGAGAACAACCCATAACCAAATAGACGAGAGGAGATGGTGGGATTTAAATGATATGAATGTATCTAAATTGCACTGGAAAAACAAACTAGAACAACCCAGATTCAAACAGATATTTCTTTCTGATTTTTGGAAGCATCATGTCAACCTAAAAGTGCTTACCAAAGAATAACCAGTCATCAATACGACATCAGTACAACAATCAACCCCCCAAACAGAGGGTTCTGCAATACAATAATTTAAACAAATTATTACATGCATAATAATGAGCAACTTAATTGATAGGTTTTGAACGGCAAGAACCACCAATCCAAATAAAAGAAATAAAAACCAATGAAAGTGATTTGAAAATTTTCAGTTTTAACTAAAAGTCATACAATAACTTTATTTAATGGTTAGGACAAAACTCAATACTAAATCAGTCCAATTATAATGGCCCAAACTTTGAGTTTATAATTTTGTACCTAACGGCAAGCTTTTGTCCGTTAATCTTATTGATCTCTCTCATATTTTGTCTCTCCCATTTTTTCCTGACATTCAAAACCTTCCATTTTTCTTTCTAATCTTGCATAGCAACTCCATTTCTATCACTATGTAAAAACCACAGCTTCGATCCCAAACTTAATTTTGAGCCGTCTCCATCTCTGTGAAAATCGGAAACGATCTCTTACAAGCAAAACGATATGATTTTGTCACTCTCTCTCTCTCCCTCCCACCCAAAATTTCTCACTCTCTCTCTCCTCTATGTAAAGATGAGCAAGGGATCTGCACTTTCACCGACATTGGCAAAAAAGCCAAAGGTAAATTTCTGCCCTTCTCTCCTTATTCATCCGATTATTAACCTTTCAATCTAACGAAGAAGAAGAGAAGAATTCGATGTTCCGAAAGTGAATTTTCTGCTTACGTTTACAGGTGATTGGAGATGGCTGAGGTAATTTTGAATGAAAACATCCCTTCTTGTGAAGAAGAAAGCTAGACTGTAAAGCCTATAAATAAGCGGCCGCTCAACAATCTCCAACTTTGCATCTTGTTGTATGTGTATATATATTATTATTTTCTTTTTTCCTCTTATTTTTTTCTCCTTTACATTCTTTACTTTTGTTAGTATTAATTAGCTTCTTCGTCTCTTGCATATACAGAGAGATGGAATCGCTGGATGACTTTAGGAAAACATCATCATAACTATATTAAAAAAAGGAATGAATCAAGCTACAAACAGGAAGGCCTTTATACTTAGTCGCGTTTATACGTATTCACCCACACTAAAGAGAATCCCTAAATTTCCTTAGTCACGTTAACATTTGGAATTTATTGTGAAGGGGAATGATGCCTTTATGCTTCTACTCAATTATAATACTTAAATCTTTTTCAAGATAAACAAAAAATTAAAATAATTCACACTATTTTTGGAACGTAACCAAAATAATTCACACTATTTCTGAAATGTAACTAAAATAAGTCACACTATTTCTGAAACGACAACAAACTATCTCACACTATTTTTGAAACTGGGCCATAATAGCCCACACTATTTGTGGAAGGGAACAAAATAAATACTATTTCTAAAACTACATCAACATAACCAACACTATTTCTGAAATTGAACTAAAATAACCATACCATTTTTTGAACCATAGCAAAATTACACACTATTTTTTGAAAACTGAACCAAAATAACTCACACTATTTCTGGAAATGAACAAAATACACACTATTTCTAGAACTACAACAATATAACCCACACAATTTTTTAAACTGAACCAAAATAATCCACTCTATTTCAAAAACTACAGCAAAATAACCCACACTATTTTTGAAACTGAACCAAAATAACCCACATTATTTCTAGAGTTACAGCAAAATAACCTGTACTATTTCGGAAATTAAACCAAAATAACCCACACTATTTCTGAAAATGAACAAAATAAAGACAAAGTTTTGACAAAACAACCCAATCTTGAATCTTGATTGATCGCACGTCTTTCTCCACAAAATAGTAATCTTATATGTTACTATTTAATAGTATAATCTATATATGGATTACTTTTGATTTGGCTATGTATAGCAGCTTGAAATTCAACTGCATGAAGTTTTCAGTCCCCTCTTCTCTATTCTCTCTCCTCTCTCTCTCAATATAAAATTATGGTGTTTTTTTTGTGGGTTTCAAAAACATATACTATTTTGATGAATATGTTTTTGCTTTTTTGTATTCATGGCCCTTTTGGGATTCTTCTGTCAAGAGCAGTGTCTGGAAAAAAAAAAAAAAGTTGAAATAAGGACTATTGAGAAATGCATCGAAAGTGTCTTGAGCAACGAAAATAGATAAACAATTTGAGTGCAATTAAATTACAGGACCATTAAGTTTTTTTACATACAAAAATAGCAATATTCTATGAATTAAAAAAAAAAACAAAAATCTTCTAAAGCTCACTTAAAAAATCAAATTTCCTACATCCCCATAGTGAAACAAGAACGGTTGGTTTTGTTTATTAGTTTGGCACGTGTGGTAGTCGGAACAATGAAAGGGGAATGGTGGACAACAAAGGAAAATGGAAGTGGGGATGGTGGACGCCAATTCATCACCTTCATATTTAATAAGGTAACATGTTTTCTCCACTATAAAAGAGGTAACAGGCTTTCTATTAGGGGCAAGTTTGGAATTTTTTTTTATTGTGTTGGGCTTTTAGTTCAGCCTTTGAGTTTTCATGTTTGCAGGGCCTGGTATATGAATAGTTTGTCCTTAGAATTAAATTTTAAGTCATTTTGGTTAAATAATAGTTTATGGTTAAATTAAAGTTAGCCTAAGCCATTTTCATTAAAACTCCCATAAAAGAAAGGTGTTGATCCCTTGCATGACAACATGGGTTCAAACCCCGTCGGTAACTAATTTAACACCTAATCTAACAAAATCTATCGTTTGACAAAAAAAATAAAAAATATGGTTAAATCTTAGTTTACTACCCTCAAGTTTCATGGTTTTCAACATTTGGTACATAAAGTTTTTTTTCATCCCAGAATCATACCTAAAATGTTAATTTTGGGACAATCTCATATATCCGTTAGTCAGCTTGTTAAGTCTTCCATTAAATGATGATGTGGCGCCCATGTGTACAATGACTGGGCGCCACGTGTCATTAAGGGTCCACCTGGAAAATCAAAATTAAAAAAAAAAAAAAAAAAAACACACACCCGTCTTCTACCTCCCCCAACCCCCTCCCTCTTTTCTGCACACCCACCCTCAATTCCCTTTCCCAAACACTCAACGCCATTAATCTCCACTTTCTCTCTCTAACCTTCCTCTACCTCCGAATTATAAGGCTTCTCCTTTCTCTCTCTGCCATATCTTGTTCCCCTTTGGCCGCTGATTGCACCGTACGACGATCATGGGGTCGATCCCCAATCTCGATGAGTTGACTAAGTTGACTCCACCAAGCTTCGACTAGTTCCAGCGGCAGAACCTCCTGAAGAAATCCGAGGCCATCAAGCTCAAAATCCAAACCCTGGAGCACAAGACCAAGGCCTCACTCAACGACCTCAAGTAATGCGAGGTCTCGATCAGGGACATCTGCTAAGTCGCGCTTGGCAATGTCGAGAAGAGCAAGGAGGCAACGCTCAAGGTGCTGAAGAAAGCCCGCAATGACGACGAGTACGGAGAGGTGGACGACGGCGAGGGTTCGCAGATGAATCTCAAGTTGTTGTGCTTAAAGATGGATTATGGAGGGTTCTGGAGGTTCATGACGACGAGGAAGAAGGAATTGGAAGCTCTGAGGTTGCAGATGCCTCTGGCTTTAGGCGATTGTGTCAATCTGGCGAAGTTCGTGCTAGAGGCAATATCAGAGGTTATCGAGGAGTTGCCATCAGAAAATAATGAGAAGGCTATTGTACTTTTCAAGCTTGTCAGTTGCCCTCCCATCTTCTCTCTTCGTTCCGATTTGATTACCAGCTTCAAAGGTACTCATTTCGACTACCCATTTGGATTTCCTGATGATTTCTGTCTCAAAATTTTGAAAATTTGATGGTTTATGGGTTTTTTCTAGACCAATTTCTACGCTCCAGCCATTATGATATGAGACGATCAGCTGAGGAAGATGACGAGACTATTCAAAACAACGCGAATCGATGTATAGGTGTTGCTCCATGGGTTCCAAGCTAGCTTCCGCCTGTGCTATCAATGGAGGTTTCGCAGCAATCTGAGGCCTTGGGAAAGCTGATGGAGGCTGAAGAGATGAGAACAGTAGGTGAACAAGAGAGTGGAGAGGAGCGATATGGAATGTGCAGAAGAGAGGGGTTGTAGAGGAAAAAATGGGAGGGAGGGGATTGGGGGAGGTAGAAGAGGGGTGCCTTTTTAATTTTTTTTTTTAATTTTTAATTTCCAGGTGGACCTTTTAATGACATGTGGCGCCCAATCATTATCCATATGGACGCCACGTCATCAATTAACGAAAGACTTAACCACTAGACTAACAGATGTATGAGACTGTCCCAAAATTAACACTTTACATATGACTCTAAGACGAAAAAAATTTCATGTACCAAATGTTGAAAACCACGAAACTTGAGGGTAGTAAACTGAGATTTACCCAAAAAATAAATAAAAGAAAGGATGAATTGAAAGAAAACTATAGTAGGGTCATTGAGGGTTGAATTGAATTAGATGAACTATTAGAGAGAAAGGTGGATGGGTTATAATAGGATTTTTAGTACCTACACAAATAGGGTTAAAAACACTTAAAAATAATTGCAAGAGAATAAGGTAGTTATAGTCTAAAAGGCTCAAGCAAAATCGTTTTTCATAGGCATTGAATGAATAATTTGTATTTAAACTAATCCTTAATTAATTATTTAAAATAAAATTTGAAGAAGATTGATTTTATGACTTAAAATAATAAAAACGAATTTTAATAAAAATAATTAAATAAATCCGCAAGAGAAAAATAACTAAAAGAAAACATTTTTGAAAATCAATTTAAAAAGACACTAGGGTTCCGCAGTCACTAATACAAATCCTATTGCAAATTTACCAATTACTTACAAATTTCTACATACATGCTTTGAAGGTTAGGCTTTCCTAATGCATACTTTCCTCGTGACGTTTAGGTGAAAATTAATGTATATCTAACATGCAACCCGTTTGTGATGTTTAGATTAAATATAAACATGCAATACTCATTAAGTTTGTGAAAACCCTTTGAAAAACCATGCAATACTTAAGAGCATGATGTTTACTTAAGTGAACTTAAAATTACTAATCACAAGAAGCCCTCCTCAATTTTTGGGTGATATTCCAACAGGAAGTGCATCACATTACTTGCCTAATTACCCTAATGATCGCGAATCATTAAGACAATTAGATAGTTTAAACATGGTAATTAATAATTCAAAGCAAACATGCATCCATTAATAAGCAAATTAATAAAATCACATATTCATGTTAAGGCTCGTGGCCTCACCCTAGCAAAAAGACTAGTTACGCATAATCATGAAGAAAAATAGTATTAAGAATATGGATAGAAAACACCTTATAAATAAACTTGAATCGTCAAAAGCTATCTAAGCCGATTTCTCCAAAATAGTGCATACATAACCCTAATGGCTAATTGGCCTTATTTATACTACTACACAATACAATCATTCCTAGAAAATGTCTTCTAAAAACTAGAAAACAAAATAACAAAAGGATAACTTAAAATCACAATCCAAATCAACTAAGGAAATATGGCCAGTAAAGAACTAGCCACGTTTCTACACCATCAGTCCTCCAAATTTGGCCCAAAACGACTCAAACTACAGCTTAGGACGTTCTGAACATCTTTGCAGAAGAGTTTGAACCCAAAAACCATCATCTTTTAGCAAATCTCGCAAATAAAGCCTGCAGCTTAATCTGATAGTATTGTGCACTGGTCCTTTAATTCTTCGCCATAAATTAACCGCTTGGTAGAAAAATTTGAAACTTTGATACGAACAATTTGAGATATTGATGAACATCCTCCAATTGGAATTGCTCCAAAATTTCACCATTTGATCATTTTTTGCTTAAGAAGAAGTCGCATGTCTTACATTGGAAATATGACGCAAAGTATCAAAATCTCACCAAAATAATTACCAAAACGTACTAAGGATAGAGGAAAATATGTAGTATGAAATTGACTCATCAGGTTATGTCGGTGGGGGTGAGGCACATGGGAACTTTTTTAAAGGTTTTAGTATTCTATAAATATTATTTGGATTGGTTGAGAGTAAACATACAACTTGCTCTTAATTGAGATTTACACATATTGCCACACAATTTCTCCAAATCAGATGAAATCAGTAGCACCACCAAGAAAGGATATAAAAAGAGAACCCATATAGATGACGTAGTCGCACAAACTTAAAATCAGGCTAGAAAAGCCGGAAATCCTTGCACAAATGCAAGGATTGACAAGAGCTTGCACCGTTGCAAGGGATGATAAAGTCCAGCAAAATGAGGCTGGGATTAACTAGTCTCCACAAAAGCATATGGGAGTGTAGACACATAAATTTCGATGAAATAAATACTCACTGACACATAAAAATTTTGATGTGCCGAGGCTTGTGTGGCATGTGTCATGTGTCTAACAAATCGTACACATGACATGTAATTCATCAAAATTGGACGAGTCATTCAGAGAGACATGTGTCGACACTTGGCAAAAAGAAATTAAGGAATTATCTATATTAATTTATATCAATCAAATTAATTGATTTAAAATTCCAAATTAAGGATAAAATGTGAATGATTTATTTGATTTAAATCAAAGATAATTTGATTAAATCAAAGATTATTTAATTAAATCAAAGATAATTTGATTAAATCACAGATTATTCAATTAAATAAAAGATTATTTGATGAATTCAAATCACAAACCAAGCCTCAAAACAAGTCATGGTTCTTTCGTCAATGAATCAAGTCCATAATTAAGGCCAAAACCAACAATAAGCAAGACTTGGCGTATAAATATGAGGCTCCAAGACAAAGAAAGGGACTCAGAAGTCATCCCCACACCTAGACGCTCAAACTCTCAAGCCTCAAACACCCTCAAATACTCAGAAGATTCAGCAAGCTCTTTACATTCTTCATCGCATTTGTGAAGAACCACCAAGCACCCCTACAAGTGCTGGTTCCTCTATCGCCACAAGCCAAAACTTTAAGGCGTTCGTTCATTTGAGATCAAGTCACTGTGAACCTCAGATCAACAACACACGCACTTTTTACCCCAGAGATCGAATCAGATGTATCAAATTTGTAATAGAGATTGTAAACCCACATTTTACATTAATACAAAATTTATTTTGTACACATGTTCTTGTTTGATTTGTCACATGAATTTCGCATTTACAGGGGAAAGGCCCTTGGAAGCAATGGTTTTTACATAAATGGTGGTCTGGGTTTTGGAATGAGAAAAGGAAAGAGAGATGGGGCGAAGACAACGAGGTTTGTTTTGCAGCGACCGATGATTTGACTATGGAACTCCCAAATTGCAATAGGGGTAAGGTTATGTGTAAAATTTGTAAACGACATTGTTTTAAGATAATTCAGTTTTTGGTTTAATTTTTGAACCACTAAAACTGAAACCGAACCAATAGATTTTGGTTTGATTTGGTTTTTTCCAGTTTGGTTTAGTGTTCGGTTCAATTTTTTTTCTCAGTTTTCAGTTTTTCCAACCCTCCCCTAAGTGGATTATTTTTGTCAATAACGGTGTTATCCTAGCATATTTTATCTTAATTATATATTATTGTTGTAGGCCTATTTGATTGAGCGATCTAGGGTTAGAGAGAGAGAGGGGTGCAGCAAGCTTTAGGGAGAAGATAGATAGATTTAATTGTGAGGTGTGTTTGATTCACCTCATTGTGCCTTTATTTATAGTAGTAGGAAGGGTAAAACATTTTCCTTTAGAATTACAACATTTAATAGGTAATCTAGTCCTAATAGGAATATAAGATACATTCCCAGATTCCCTAGGATTTACACAATCACATTCCTATTCTAAATATGACTGCAACACTCCCTCTTGAGTGTGTAAATACTCAATAAACCATCGCATCAGATCTTCAGCAGATAAGGTAGAATAGTTGATGAAGTCATCGGCACAACGGGTGATCGCGAGTCTCAAATTTACTTTGAAGTATGCATTTGTAAAAACTCACAAAAACCTTGCTATGGTAAAACCTAAGAAATGAGGAAAACCCATAGACTAAGGAGAAAAGTAAGAAAATATGCATAATGTCTAAAACATTCGTCAAACTGGACAAAGGTAGTGAACTCATCGGAGTATGATCATCCCAGGATGGGTGCCTCATTAAAACCTCGTTAGGTAGCAAAAACCTAGTGGGAAAAATGCTCCTAATCGTAGAAAAAAGAGTACATTAAGATCATGTGAGTATGCTTTTAGATACTCCCCTTGAGTTAGACATAACTTCTAATTAAGAGAATTACAAGCTATTCAACTTAGATAATGTACGCATACTGATTCCTTGGACGAGCTTCTGAATAGTAGACTTGGGCAACGACTTGGTAAAGAGATCGACCAGGTTGTCCTGGGAATGGATTTGCTTGACTTCAATGTTCTGATGCTGCTGCTGCTGGTGTGAGTAAAAGAACTTTGGCGCTATGTGCTTGGTGTTGTCTCCTTTGATGTATCCCTTCTTCAGCTGCTCGATACATGTTGCATTGTCTTCAAAGATCGTCGTAGGAAAGTCAACGACTGATGTAAGACCACTAGTGCTTCGAATATGTTCCATAACTTCTCTCAACCAAAAGCACTCACACGATGCTTCATGTAGGGCAAGAATCTTAGCATGGTTAGACGAAGTCGCAACTAGCGTTTGCTTGGTAGACCTCCAAGATAGCGGTGTCTCCAACGGTAAAGACATAACCCGTTTGAGAACGTGCTCTATGTGGGTCAGACAGATATCCAGCATCTGCGTAACCAACAAGGCGAGAATCAATCCGAGGGCCATAGGGGGGCAGCAACACTTGAAGATTCACGGGTATAGAACAAGCCCAAATCCGTAGTACCTTTGAGGTAGCAGAAAATATCTTTAACACCATTCCAGTGGCTACGTGTGGGCGCATTGCTGTATCTAGCCAATAGATTCACAGCGAAGGAAATGTCGGGTCTAATGCACTGAGCTAAGTACAATAAAGCCCCAATTTCACTTAGGTAAGGAACTTCGGGTTCCAAAATCTCTTCCTTATCCTCCTTTGGATGGAAGGGATCTCGTTGACCATCTAGCGTCCGAACGACCATGGGTGTACTCGAAGGCTTTGCTTTATCCTCATTAAAACGTCATAACACATTTTGGGTGTAGTTCGATTGATGTACTAGGATTCCATCCGAACAATGCTCGATTTCCAGGCCGAGACAGTATCGAGTTTTCCCAAGATCCTTCATCTCAAATTCCGATGTCAAGTGTGTA